ATCAGGGCCAGAGATGGACACTTCAGTGAGGTAGGTAGCCTTTATTTTACTTTCCCTCCTTGATTCTGTCAGCTACATCAGCACATGGGCCAGGACTCAGAAGGATGTTGTGAACAGGACCAGTACAGAGATCACAGTAAGCAACTGGTCCCCAGACACTGCTCCCAGGATACCAGGCCCTAGAGCTGGGTCTGAGTGGGGAAGCAGGGCTCTAGAGATTCCTCTCTCAGTAGTTAGTTAATCTTTCCATGAATCAATCCATAAGGTCTCTGTCATTCCCATTGAAATTTCTTAGAGGAGCATCATCCTGAAGATAGAGTTATAAAACAGATAAGGACCAGTCTGGACTCCTTCCCGCTATGCTATTTCTGTGCTCTTTGCTCTGAGGCCTCCTGTGGCCCTGACCTAGAATTTAGAGGTATGCTTGCCTCTGCCTCCTGAGAGTGGGTTTAATTCATGCACCAGTATGGTGGTATTGTGTTCCCAAAAATATTGTGCACCCTAATAAACTTATCTGGGGTCAGAGACAGAACAGCCACTAGATACAAAGGCTAGAAAATGGTGGTACTCACACCTTTAATCCTAGCATTCCAGAGACAGAAATCCCTCTGGATCTCTGTGAGTTCAAGGCCACATTGGAAACAGCCAGGCATGGTGACTCACGCCTTTAATCCCAGGGAGTGATGGTAGAAAGGAAAAGGTACATAAGGCGTGAGGACTAGAAACCAGAAGCATTTGGCTGGTTAGGCATTTAGCTAGTTAAGCTTCAGGCTTTCGAGCAGCAGTTCAGCTGAGAGCCATTGGGATGAGGACACAGAAGTTTGCAGTCTGAGGAAACAAGATCAGCTGAGAAGTTGACCAGGTGGGGTTAGCTGTGGCTTGTTCTGTCTCTCTGGCCTTCCAGTGTTCACCCCAATACTTGGCTCTGGGTTTGTCTTATTAATAAGGCCTGTTAAGATTCCTGCTACACACCACCACCACCTGGCTCACTTTTATTTTTGTATGAAACATTTCTCAGCATGTGTTTCTGTACACCATGTTCATGCTCAGTGGCTGGGGTAGCCAGAAACGGTCTTTGGTTACCCTGTTACTAATGAGAGGAGGTTCTAAGTGCATAATTGGGTGCTGGGAATTGAACTCAGTTTCCCTGGAAGGGTGACCAATGCTTTTAATCACTGGGCCATATATTTAGTGCCCTTGAAATGATTGTTCCTGTGAGAACTATGGAGATACGCTAGGGCTGCCATAAACAGGGCTCTGGAAAATCCTTCTCACAGGGTGGGGGTCCACTATAAACACCCTAATCCTACTTTAGCAACTGAAGATGCTTCCTGTTCTGGTTTGTAAAATTCCCCTCTTTAAGTTGCTGAAATTTCTAGAGATGTTTGGTCATCACTCACTACTTCCGACAGCTATTCCTGACTTGGAAAGTGTTCCCTGTAGATTCTAGAGGACTGTTGCTGTATGTCCTGTTGTCCTCCATCCTGAGGAAGTGGGCATCCCAGACTCATCTGTTTTTGTTTTCTGTATCTACAGGGAATGAGACCTGTCTTCAATACTGAGTATGTGTCTGGAGTCATTCTTTGGTCAGTCCCCTGCTTTGGTCAAAAGTAGTGATCTGTGTCATCAAGTACGGTCAGGGATGTGCTTTATCTATGGCTTAGGCCATGCTGGCCTTTCCATGTCTCTCTCAGCTTTGTCTTCTTCACAAATCCCTACTTCCCTGCTTTTTCAGTAAATCTGTTCTGCCAGGACCTGTGATCAGAGGGACTCAGATATGTTCAGAGCCTCATGCACTATCAGGGAACTTGGCGTCACAGTCAGATCTCAGATTGAGGTTAATGTCAGAACCATCAGTTATTATTCCACATTTGTACAGGGAGTTGTGCCTTTCCTAGTGCTGTGGGGTCCCCAATCTTCGGCAACAGCAAGAGGTGTTTCTGTCATTGTCCTAAAGACAATTATTCAGATTGGGAATTGCTGACTCATGCTTCCGCACACTGAGAGGAGTCAGAAGGATGTTGTCAACAGGAGCAGCACAGGGATCAGGGTAGACAACACTGCTCCAGGGCACCAGGTCTCAGAGCTGGGTCTGAGGTAGAAAAGCAGGACTCTAAGAGATGCAGCCCCAAGAGTTCATCTTTCCACCACCCAACCCACAGGTCTCTGGCATTCCCATAGAGATTTCTAGAAAAAGGCAAGCAGTCTCCCCAATGTCAAGCTCATAAAATGAAAAGTGAACTGTCAATCTGTAGTCATCACTCATGAAGAAGACCACTATGCTATTTTGCTATTTGTCCTCCTCTGACCATCAAACTTACTTACTCTGTTCAAAAACACAATTGCAAAACCCAAAATTGTAACTTTGTGGGGTTTGCCTTTTTAAGCCCTGGGCTGATATGGCTAGGTCCTGTATCTTGGGAGTGCTCACTGGTGCAGTTTGGTCTGGCTTGAGCATTTGGAACCCCAAAGCCCACCCCCAGTCACATACTTCCTCCAACAAGGCCACACCTACTTCAACAAAGTCACACTTCCTAATTCTTCTCAAGTAGTGCCATTCCCTGGTGACAAAGTTTTCAAATCAATGAACCTGTGGTTGGCATTTTCAATCAAACTACCACTGCCTCTAAGTCCAGAAGAGCAAACAAGAGAAAACGATGAAGTATGCTTTAAAGCACCTAACGTGGTCTCTATAGCTGGATGTGTTTGTGGTAACTGGAGCAGAATTTATGCCTGTCACACAATGCAGAAATGATCTATATATGTCAGTGATGTTAGTTTTTCTGATTATACTATTAATTCCTGTGACACCATACTTGACATTCTGGCTTCTGTCCCCTCTCTGTAGATGGGCTGACAGAGGATTCAATGATTCCTTTCTGAAGTGTTTGCAATTTCATTGAACTTGATTGGATGCTCTGCCGTCAATGCTTCAGCATTAAGGACTGCTATGACATGCCCTGGGGATTTAAGCCCTTCCTTCTCAGGCATTGCTGGATTGATTTATTCCACATAACTTTCCTTATATTGATATGCTTTCTGTTTGAAATACAAATACAAATACGTAGGTGAGGTTCTTTTGGACTGGTATTAGCATATTAGAGCTATGTCCATCCCTTATACTACATAATTTTTAAATATCTAATTAATTAATATTAGTGACTTACTTTAAAGATAGGGTCTCTGTATATAGCCCAGTTTATCTTGAACTTGCAACAATCCTCTTGACAAAGCCTCCTCTGAGGTGGGACTGTACACATGTTATAACTCAGTTTCTCTCAGTGAAAACTAAAGTTCAACCAGGGATAGAGGTTTCCCAGCCCTGCTCCTACTGGAACAGGAGAGATGACTGGGGAAGACACACCTGTCAGGGTGGGGATGGAGAGTGTTGATGTTCAGGGATGGGCAGAACTTGTCACCTCTTTACATCTTGATCACAAGAGACAGACACATAGTCATAGTAAATCCGGAAAGGGAAGTCATCAGTTCTTGAAGCCACAATAGGAAAAGGAAACTCCAGAAGCAATACTGTATGGCTCAGTGCCACATAAGGCAGCTGCCTTATCCTGTAGAAGAAACATAAAGAAGAAATTCAGCTGAGAGCCTATGGATGGCGATATGCTGAACAGCCATTCACATGTTCACTCAAATTGTTCTAATCTCAAGAGTCCCCATCACCCAGGGTTTCCTCCATTGATTCTGGCCCTGAACCAAGCAGGGCCTACAAAGTATAACTTGTTAATGCTAACCTGGAGGACAAACATCATAGGTTCTTTCCCTCCCACTGGAAAGAAATACAAGATCAGGACAAATCCTACTGAAGATTGAATTCAGCAAGGTGTTATGGCCTGGCAGAGACACTCAATGGACTACTGTCTGTACTAACAACAGTGTCTCAGGGATGAATCCCACTATACTCAGAGGCAAACATTATCGTGGCTACCTAAACTTTGACAACTGGGGAAAGGGCCTCTACCCAGATCTGGCTGGTGTTCTCTGTCTGGGAATCTGCATTTCTGACAACTCAACTACACTCTCTCTTTTCCCCAGTGGAAAGCTGGACTCTGTAGTGATCAACAAATCTAACTGATGTTTGTTGAGGGCTATTACATAAATATATGAAATGTTCCATGTAGAAATCATTAAAGAACTACAAGCAGTCTCAAATGGCAAACCAACCTTGAGTTTATGTGTTTTGTGGAACAAGGAGAGAAGACACTGCAGAGTCACAAAGGACAGTGTTCATAGAGGAGGAGGCAAGTGGTAGGTGACAGGTGATCCACAGAATGGGTATGGGACAGTTCAGGTGACTGTTTTATTAGGGTGCTTAGCATGGCCTCACTGTAAAGCTGAGCTGTGACTGTGAGAGAACATTTTCAGGACATGAAGGATTCCTCCAGTTAGGCTCCAGATCAGGAAGTTTCATAACTTCTCCCAAGAGCACCAACAGTTGGGACCAAGTGAGCAAACAATTGAGCCTAGAGGGGATTTTATCATTCAAACCTTGTCCTGGCTTTTATTTTAGTTTTGTTTATTTGACCCAAGATGCAATTGCCTGGGAGGAGGAAGCTCAGCTAATAAAATGCTTCCACCATATTGCTTGTAGACAAAGTCTGTAGTGCATTTTCTTAATTAATGATTGATGTGAGAGGTCCCAACTCACTGTCCATGCTGGACAATTGGTCCTGGATGATATAGAAAGCAGTCTGAACAAGCCAGTAAGCAGCAATCCTCCGTGGAATCTGCTTCAGTTTCTAATACATGTTCCTACTTTGAGTTCCAGCCCTAACATCCTCAGTGATGGAATATGACCTAGAATTTGTCAGGTGAAATAAACTCTTTCTTCCTCAAATTGGTTTTGGTTATGGTGTTTTGTCACAACAATTTAAGAGCAGAATAATCCAAACCACTATTGGGCATGGAAGACAACTTCACAACTGCCAAAACTTGTTTTTGACAGAGGGCACTGGTTTTTATGGTTTAGTTTTTAGTTTTTACCTACGTGTATGTTTGTGTGTGTGTGTGTGTGTGTGTGTGTGTGTGTGTGTGTGTGTGTGATACATGCCAATCGATTGGGGGTTCCTGTGGAATCTAGGAGAGGACATCAAATCCAATGGACCTGGAGAAACAGAAGGCTGTAAGTGGCCCTTTGGGAGTGCTTCAAAATTAACTCAGTTCCATTGTTATAGCACTTAGTACTTTCACCACCTAGGATCTTTTCAAAATCCAAGGGTGGTGACTTTTGCCTGCTTCCATTGCTGAATCCCAGGACCTGGAACATGCTGATTCATCTGCAGATTCTCCATCACTTACTAAGGAGTAAATCTGAGAAGCAACCTCCTGAAAGTTGAGACTAGAGAAGGAAAGGCAGATATCGTGTTGATATGGTGAAGATCTTCTCTCTCTCTCTCTCTCTCTCTCTCTCTCTCTCTCTCTCTCTCTCTCTCTCT